CGTGTGTGTGTGTTCGTCCGTCCGGGCATTTTAACTCGGCAACCAAGCAAGTTCCAGCGTCGAGATTTTGCTAACGATCACCCCGGCCAAGTACCACCCCAGAACCACGGTACCATCCCTCACGCACGTCTGGGCCCCGCGTACGAGAGGGGGAAAGTTTTGGCGGGAAAACTTACCATCCCTCACGCACGTCTGGGCCCCGCGTACGAGAGGGGAAAAGTTTTGGCGGGAAAATTCATCCCCAGAACCGCGGTACCACCAAGCAATTTTCAGCGCCGAGATTTTGCTAATGGGTACCCCGGCCAAGTACCACCCCAGAACCGCGGTACCACCCTCACGCACGTCTGGGCCCCGCGTACGAGAGGGGGAAAGTTTTGGCGGGAAAATTCATAACTCAGGAACGCGAAAAGATAGGAAGCTGAAATTATGAGGTTATGTTCTCCGTCCAAATATAACTCAAAGAAAAAAAGATAGAAAGCCGAAATTCTGAGGTTATGTTCCCCGTCCAAATATAACTCAAAGATTTCAAATTCAGCCGCCAAGTGCGCGTGGTTCCCGCGTACGGCCCCGTGAGATTTTTCGGCGGAAAAATGGCTAACTGGGGAACTAGCAAAGCTGGGGGGGCTGAAATTTTTAGGGAATGTTCCCAGCCCATGTACGACCTAAGTTTATAAAACTCATCCCCCAGGCTTGCGCGGTTCCCACGTACGGCCCGGCAAAATTTTTTGGCGGGAAAATGGCTAACTCGGGAATTAGTAAAGATGGGAAGCTGAAATTTTCAGGGGGTGTTCCCAATCCACGAACGACTGAAAGTTGTCAAATTCAACCTTCAGATGCGTGGTTCCCGCGTACGGCCCCGTGAGATTTTTCGGCGCGAAAATGGCTATCTCGTGAACTAACAAAGCTGGGAAGCTGAAGTTTTCAGGGAATGTTTCCAGCCCACGTACGACTTAAAAGTATCAAATTCAGCCCCCAGGCATGAGCGATTCTCACGCGCGGCCGCCTGAATTTTTTTGGCGGGAAAATGGCTAACTCGGAAACTAGCAAAGCTGGGAGACTGAAATTTTCAAAGAATGCTCCTAGCACAAATACAACATAAACCTATCAAATTCAGCCCCCCGGTCATACGCGCCGGGGGAGGGAGGGAAGAAACAGGCAAAAATAACAACCGCTAAAACGATGCATGCCGAACCAAAGTGATAAAACAGACAAAAATAGCAACCGCTAAAACAGACAACCGCTAAAAAGATGCAGGCCAAATGAAAATGATGAAATAGACAAAAGTAGAATGCTGTTTGGCAACTATGCAAATTTTCGCATAACAGTGGACGCCCCATACGTGGAGAGCACTAAGCGTGACGTGACACTACCCGAAACAAGCAAGTTTCCACGTAAGATGTGGATTTTCGTACGTGGGATTCCCTACACTGACGTGGCTTAATTGACTTTTACGTGGGACGTAATTTTTACGTGTTTTTTGCAGCAATACAATGCGAAAAACGCATATTGACGAGAGGTTGTCTGGGTGCCCGTGCGTGTGTGTGTGCGTCTGTCATACACTTTCATCTCAGGACCTATAAAAGCTGCGGGGCTGGAATTTCGGGAACTTAATCTACATGCACGTGCCGGCCCCAATCCCCAAAACGGGCGCCAAAACCCACGTGGTACCCCCGTACGGGCCCTCCAAAGTTTTTTTGGGGTCAGTTCATAACTCGAGGATTTGAGAAGCTGGAATGCTGAAATCTTGGATTAATGTTCCCCGCCCAAGCGGGTATTAGTGGGCTCAAACCCAGCCCCCGGGTAAGCATAGTACCCGCGTACGAGCCCGCCAAAATTTTTTTCGGGTAAGTTCATAACTCGGGGATCTGAGAAACTAGGAGACTGAAATCTTGGGGTAATGTTTCCCGTCCAAGTGGGTATTAGTGGGCCCAAACCTAGCCTCCGGGTGAGCGTGGTACCCACACACGGGCCCGCCAAAATTTTTCTCGTGTAAACTGATAACTCAAGTACCTGAGAAGCTAGAGGAATATAATTTTAAGAGGATATACCCCGTCCACTTTAGTTTCATTCAGCTCGAACCCAGCTCTCAGGTATGCTTGGTAAAAATGCACGGGCCCGTGGAAATTTTGTTCCGGTAAGTTGCTAACTCAGGTGCCAGGGAAGCTAGAAAGCTAAAATTTTAAGGGGATGTTTTCTGACAGTTC